CGCCGGCGGTCACGGTCAATCGTTGGGCTATCGGAGTGTGTTTTTTGGGGCCGACCTTTTTAACCTGTCCTTCATCGGGGGAAGACAGCATCGCTGCTTCCATAAATATGGACATGCTGGTTGCCTGGGGGAAACACATTTCTGCCCTCACACTCCTGTCGCAGAGGACATTAGAACTTTATCTCCGGACCGCCCCATGGCACGATTACACAGAGTACGAGTAGTCGTTGTTCTTCGTCGAGCTGCTCCTTGTTCGCCATTGTGGCATGGTTGAACCTTTAGGAACTGAGTTCCAGCCAGTACAGCCCGCAGAATCATTGCGGCACAGAAGCCCGACCGTCACAACAAGGTGAAATCTTTGGGTGGGAATCGCCCTAACCTAGACAGAGGAAGTCGAGAGGCAGAGATCGGGTTCGAACGACGCATCTTCTGGTCAGTAAATTCGCGCTGTAACCACCGAGCCATAAAGGCACACAAACCATCACATCACGCTAACGTCCAGCTTCTTTTTGACGTGGTTGAAGAGTGCACGGCATGGTAGTACGACACAACCGTCAGTCTTATGGTCAGGCTTTTGTGCTAAGGTCTTGAGTCCTGGGTCTTAATCACCCTCATGTGTAGCTTTAGTTTCTCCGGCGGTATCTTAGCCCATATAATACCATGAACCACATCTGTTGTCATGTAGTACCGTCAACTGGCTCACTGCTGAATACAGCTGAGTACCGTTACTGAATCGTATCATGCTGTAGTTGTTAATATGCCTCTAACCCACTAAGCTTTGCCGGGGGTTCCACTGTGGTGTCCACACACATTCCCACAGTAAGTTGCTCACTGAATAGATTTTTGACGAACACAGTCCCTTGGCTTTCCTGGTTGGAAGTTGTGAGATGTACGGCGATTTGTACTTCGAAGAATTGTATAATGTGGTACTACGCAGGCGCTCCTCAGGCTTTTGCTAGGGGCTAGATGCGTTTTTTTCTAGGTGTGGGTACCATGACAGCATCCCGGCACCAAATCATGAGATTCACAGAGACATTCATACCACTTCGGCCGTCGCGTGGTGCCATCGACCGAGTCGCTGTACTTATGCATACAGAAGGGCGGGTAATCCTCCCTACTTTCAATTTTGCATATTCCTTGTGCCCCACTCCACCACGTTGTGGGTACTGTCTCTTCAGATCTCAGCATCAAGACTGACAACTTCGTTCGCTTTGCATTGCTCCTAGCGAAAACTCATGCGCGTCCATATTTGATAACAACCCTAAACACCTCGAACTACGTTTTCAACCCCTGAAGCCGGTCTGATTAACCGTGTTCATTGTTCGCACTCTGAAACAAGTAGGACGAAAATCTCATGCTCGTAACCTGGATTACGCTTTCATTGGTATGAGTTGTCTCGGGTACACGAATCTTAGTAGCATCCACGAACTTCACACCAGGAATATAAACTACCTTGAAAAGGTAACTGCTCGACGTACACCACCTGAGACGGCATCATTGATTGGAATGAGTCATGGCCTGTGTTTGTTCCACCTGGAAGCCTTTTTGCTCTCAAGATCATTGTTTAGTTCAGGGCCTTTTGCACTTACTTTTCCAACACAGAAGCACTTTATAATTACTTGTAACTTCATATCCTCGAGTGGACTTTGATGAAAAGATGCGCATCAGGGTTATTGTGGCAAATTGGCGAAAACCACATTGGGACCAGTCTGGGGTTTTCGGCGTCCAAATTTCTGTTTGACCTGTGCGTTTCAAGCGGGGGCCGGATAGAGTAGTCACACCTTTAATCTAATGCAGGTGTTTCAACTCCACAGATGCCCATTTTTCCTTACCTGAAAACTGGTCTTGTGTCTAGTTGTCAGTTACTGTATATCAGAGATGTCTGACTTTTGTCCCTCTTGAAAATACTACATGCTAGTCTCTTTAAACGACAAGTTCTTGCCTTATTTTTCACCCCAACTGGTCCCGAATGAAATTTCTGTTCGTCACTCTTCTGCACTTCGGTATCGATGTAACAACTTGAATCCTACTTACCTTACACTTGGGGGTCAAGATTCTCCTTAGACTCGCTCCTGCAGACGTTGAACGCACTTTTGATATGACTTTTCTTGAATCCAGTCTATTGGAACGGGAGTCGTTTTGAACAGCCAAACTAATTTGACCTCACGATTGGCTGTTTACCTCTCACCTACAGATTATAGAGTGCTACTGAAAGACCACGCGTAGTGTAGCTGTAACCCCTCGTCCACGGACTGGCCTGCTGGCGTAAGAGAACACCGGGGCTGCATTTGCCAACTTTCGGCAATTGTGACCCCGTCTCGAATTCACAGTACCACCCCTGCGGGCGTATAGACAGAAACGTGGTCACTATGTCCCAAAATCCAAAAATCTTTATTTTGAAACCCCTTTGTCTCGAAAGCGTTGTTTGGGTTTCATAGAAACATGAAATAAGCCACTCCAGGCTCTTTTGGGTGGTTTTTGGAAAAGGTCACTCACGATAGATTGAGTTCTCACGCCGCGCAATGGCCGAGGCAAAACATTCCAAATAATACTAGTGCTGTTACGTGTAGCAAGCAGAGAAGTCGTTTTATCGATGTTTTACAAATACGGACCAAAAGGGGAACAGACATTCATGAAAACACGGCAGTTTTGCTAATTCTAAGAAGTGACGGGTAATGAGAAACCTGTTATTCTTCTGGTTAGCTCAGGGTGTTACGGAGGAGTGCTTGAAACACCACAACGCATATCATTTTCAGCTTCCATAATCGGTGTAGGAACTTGCTCACAAAGGTAAAGCAATGCTTAGGTTATGTAGAAATGACCACCTGTTGCGTTCCTAAAATCGATTAACAAGGCCATCTTTACTCTAAGGACATCTCAGTTTATTGATGCGAAACCGTTGGTTTTCATCAGACTACGGACGGAATTTGCTACTTTCTGCATATTCCATAGGATGTCCAAATAAACTTCCCATGATTGGTCTACTAACTGGTTGGTTTTACGACGGTAGGGATCTACCAATCTGTGTTTCCTCAAGTCGCCGTTTTTTTAAACTGCAGTATTGACTAAAGCAGACGGGTCTTACTGATCAAATAGTGGGAACCCGAGTTAACTTGTAGTGAAAAACCCTGTTCATTGTCTGGAAGGGTAGTTCCTGGAACTCGTCGCTAGTGACTGATGACGTTGTCAGCTTATAATTAGTTGGTCTACTTGAGGCTCTGGGTTGCATGGTACTCGCACACTATCTGTGTATTGCATAATGGTGTGTGTGTTTGTGTGTGCAATTAGGTCACTCAAAGCCTAGCTTCCCACAACCAGAAAAACATCGACCAAATCAATAAAGTGCAGTGGAGACGATGCCGCGGCTTCACTTTTTCCCCATCTAAATCTCGGAAGCCTAAATTCAGCTTCTCGGTAAGCCGAACAGACAATCTGTCGGACTGTGGGTTGTCACTTCGCTTTACGTCAAGGTTGAATTTGTGATTTTGACTACTCACTTGATCATCCCCCAAACCGCCCTCGCGCTATCCGCGAACCTGTACCGCACAGTATAGCGACGCTACGCACAAAAAGATATTAGGACAGCGAAATGCCGAACTTCTGACGCTTAACTTTTATGTGGTGAAAATCACCGTCAAACAGCCCATTATGTCTATTTTGGATGGCGTAGCGACTAACGCGTTCAAGAATGTGTGTAAATTACCTGAGGGAAACAGGACTCGTGTGGTATCCCATTATTTTAAGGTCGCTTATAGGTACACGTGGGTGTTTGGAGCGATTCGACCGCGGATTGCTGCCAAGTTCGAGCGTTTTAATCGAATCTTTTGATTCCTCAGACACGTTTGGAGGAGGTCGCGGGTTCGGATCTCCCTGGGGTCTCTTGTGATGCGCGTTATTGATGTACACTATTTTGGTTTTGTTGGAATTTGTGGGTGCCTTACTCTTGTGTCTTTGGATCTCAAGGTTTTTCAAATCACTCGACTCCTTTCCGTGGTTGTTTGAAGGTCAGACTGGCATTTATGGTGGGTACCGCTTTCCCTTCCCTTGGTATCAGGCTGTCTAGAAGTAATCTTCTGACAACCAATAACAGGGCACAGTAACTCTTTGGAGATCGGTCGGAAGCCTGCAATATTAACTGAGCGCTTTTTTATCTTGTGCTATCCTAACCTAATGAAAGAACAATAGAAACTACGAACAGAAATGGAATGGAAAGATGGGCAAAATCCCCGCAGTTTTCTATGGGGTATGCGGGACTTCCGAACAGTTGACACCCCGTCTGTCTGTTGTTCCTCTTTCTGCCTAAGGTTGAAGCTATCGCTCTGAGCGCCTAGCTGACAATTTTCCCGTTTGGGTATTTTTGGTGCTACTTGCCTTTCAGGATGGAGACCGCGTGATCCATACTGCGACTGGTTGGAAACGCCACAAGATGTGGCGTTCTTGTTGTCAGTTTCTATCCAGATTGCGTGAATGAGTATCTGGAGGTGTAGGCACCTCGGGATGATTGTAGTAAGCTAGCGCCAACACCCTTTCTCCGTCCACGTTCATTTTTTCTTTACATTAAGGCGTTCAAATAAATCATGGGTGTACGGCAGCGAAGCATCGGTGTTGAACACTCATGTCATGCTATCCACGATGGTGATGAATTTTCTCGTCACTTTAAACAGCTAGACTGATTCAACACCAACTTATTGCTTATGCCATCGCCTCCAGCGCTTGGCTGTCTCTCCCGCTTCCCTTTTTTCGGAACTGTAGCAGCTGGGACCGAAATACTCGTGGTTTTGGTTTATGGNATGGCTGATATGCTGAACCGAACTGTACAAGGAAGTTGACACACATGGTTGATAAACATCTGATGTGAATAACAAGGCGTCTTCACTGAAGCAGGTAGTATCTGTACTAGATGGTCATTATGTGAAGCAATGCTCACGTGAGTTTTTACCGTTTTGGCACACGTTAGCCTGCCACTCGTTTGACTCTGACATATACTGTTCTGTCCACAGGTTAGTGTGAATGTCGACGGACCCCCACCACCAGAGGACACTGCACGAGTACCTCTCCCCGGTGCAGGTGCCTGGGCAGGTGCAGGTATCAAACCAATGGCCGGAGTTGCTGTCGGTCGTGGAATGCCTCTTGCGACACCCGCAGCTGCGATTCCACCTCCGGCCCCACCTGCAGGTCTTGCAGCTCCAGTTTGGGGAGTGGGAGCACCAGCACCCGGTTTAATGCAGCCACGAGTCGCTGCTGGCATGCCACCTCCCCCTCCTCCACCAACTGCTGCACATCCGGGGGCAGCGGTGGCATTTGGACGTGGGATGCCCCCAGTCGCAGGCCGTGGATTCCCACCAGCACCTGGATATCAGTGATCTACAGCATTTTCTACTCACAAATCCAACTGTAAACACACTGTCAAAATATATATCTATTTGCAGCTGTCCGTGGTATTTTGTTGTTATTTAGGGTTCCGGATTTTGCTAATCTAATTTGTTGGTCTACTTTTGCAGACCGATGAATCCTTAACATAACTGATTAGCTGGAGCTAACAGACTTTAATTTCGTTCTGCCCAGGTTCATTTACAGTTTCAATCTCGCTTGATTTCTCGACTTTCCGTGTCTGTTGTGCGGCGGCAACATCGTCATGCGCCCACGTCCAGTTTATCTGAACGTTATGGAAGTTGTGTTGGTTGCTCGTTTCTTCGTTTAGGTTCACTAAAAGTTGGCAGATTTGTCCCGAAAAAACGGAACATTTTAATAGGGATAAGCAATGTCGGTAACGTTTGGTTCTTGCGCGAAACAGCGTTACGAAGCGTTCCCCCGAGGTCTTCGAGGGTTGGCACGCGGGTTTTTACTTGATCTACTGTTCTTTTCACTTGATACTGACAGCCAGTGGGTGGAAAAAGTGGCACGAGTTCTAAAATAAAGACTTGTCGACGGCGCCTTGGGGTTTGTGGCTCGATAAAGGAAGATGGTTTACTGATGGCTGCAACAAATGGTTACACGCCGATTTCAATGCCGTCCATACCGTCAACTGTGTTTAGTATTCAGCGAACGTTATGCTGTCCGTGGTGATGAGTAATTAGGCGACTGCGGTTCAATGCGTGTTAACTAGTTGCGTAGGTGGCATGTCAATTCTATGAAATTGGGACAATTCACGATTTACTGGGGTCTAATGCAGCACTACATGCATTCAGCAGGCTGGCAGCAATACCCAGCGTTTGTCCTCTTCAGGACAAGCAACTTCGGAAGATTCCCAGGACCACAGCGCTGCAAGGAACCAAAGAGCTTATAACTACTTGTATTTGCACAAGCCCTCTTACAGATCCGTCAAAGTATGGATATGTTCATGGGTGTAAAGGAATGGGTAACAATCAAAGAAGGCTTGCTATCACATTTTGTTGGATCGATATGCGTTGAATGTGCGTAGAACATGCTGGAGCCATCACGTCCAGGAGTGCACAGTGTCTCAGTCGACCTGTGGCTCTCGGGTGCAGTCATGGGTCCAAAAACGAAATCTTGAAAATAACCTGAGCTCTAAGTGCGGTAGTGCTGGTGGTAATCACTGGTACATCGAAAAATCCTAGGTCGCCAGATCACTATTTTCCTTGTTCCTGTTTCCCACAGACGAGCTCGTGCTTACCGTGTTCAATTTTGAACAACAGTTCGGAATCTGCCAATGGGAGGAAAAATGAAAAGGGTTAGTGTAATAAATACGTGGGATTATGGAGTACCGGTGTCTTGTACCATCGTAATAATGTGATTTAAGCTACGTAGTTGTTTTCAGTCAGTTGGAAAATGTTTGCGACTTGTCAGAAAGTCATCGTTTCTGAAGGATTTGGTAAACACTGCGTGGGTTTATCTGTAGGCAACAATTCGCTTTCGACGCGACCGGACGGAACTTTTATCACAGGCAAAATGCCGACCAGCAGTAAATCCACCGGTTGCTTAGGAACCTCTGAAGTGAATCCAAGTAGTTTTTTGAGCCAGTGTGGATTAGAATGGTGGACGAAGGGGTTAAATGCAGCCCCCGTATTCGCTGTGCTGTATTCAGTCCGTCATCCAGGAATTTTTTCAATTTTGGACTGATATCACTGTTCGAGACAATGTTCGTGAACGTTTGTTGGCAGAAGCGTTAGTTACTATCTGTTTCAGGCAAATATTCTTGTTGAAACCGCTTATCTGGACAACGAATATCCGAAGTTTTAACTGCAAAATTTCCTGGTGTTCTGCACTTGACGTGCAACATGCCATCAGATCCACAGATTGAAGGGAATATCTGCCATTCTCATTGAGATAATGGAAGATTGGACAGCCCCACTAATCAAAACTTGAACTTCGCGGTGGGAACATCGGACACCTTTTCCTCTCGAAACTGCTTCTGCGTGAGCTTCCAAGTTTCCTGCACCATTGGATGATAATGTTGCAGAGCTCAGAAGACTAGAAATTTTTTGAACTGAGTTCCAACTGATGGTTTTTTTCTCGGGTTCTTTGTACGGAAGTTCTCTTTCGAGATTACATGCGTGAAGTTTGATCCCCGGGGGCCAAATACCATTGGGGGAGGCCTGGTGTGCTTCAGTTGTGCTCGAGCACGATTGGTCAGAAAGGTTTCTTTAAATGCATGGTCAGGTTATTTGGCGTCCGTGTTTTAGGTTTCTACATATGTTTCATTTAACCGTACTGGCTATTCGTTCGCTAGAGCGTTACGCGGCCAGTGGTTCACTCTGCATATTCCAGTAAGGGGCGAGGTGGCTCAAATGGTCAAGATCTAACTGTTGCCATGATCTATACAGATTGGAACCTTTCTCAAGGGGTAGTCATGCTGAGATGACCCAAGGAGAGCGACCAGACAGTACAGCGAGCCCATGTACTGCGGACATTCGTATTACAAGTCCTTTCAGCATAGGATTGGTAGTGTGTTCTTTCCTCCAGGCGATCCTCATTTCATAACTGTGGAATCAAGGATGAGACCTTTCCTTGTGAATGGACGTTCCAGAAAAGACCGGCCTTGAAAAGTGCACACCCCGGTCACTGCTGACCATGACGGGTGACACTTCATTCAATATGTCGGAGAGGAAGGGATCCTCATTAATAGCTCAATGTAACTCCAAGCTCACTTACTGTGCGTGACAGCATGAAGTATCAGGCATCTATGCCTTACTCCTTCGCTGACCAGGCCGTTCCTCTTCAGTCAAGTTCACCAGGTTATTGAGTTTCTGGTCCCGGTTAAGGTTCTCTAAAACCCTACTAAACTCCGCGGTTAAGAGAGAGTTAACCATTAGTGGGAGGACTCGACCATATTTCCCCCATCGCCTTATGGGCCAGACTTCCGGGTAAATAGCCTGGGCAGCCAGGTATTACCATTCTCTTTTTGGGCTCTGCATTGCCGATTCCTTTTTTCTTTCGCCCTTCAACTGAGCTTTCCTGATCCATTATCTCAACTCTTGTCCATTGGCTTAAACCAAAATAACCTCGTAATGAATTCGAATCACCTGGACCACGCTGCGGCTCCCTTTGTCGGAACTTTGTCGTACTGAACAACGGGACTCCGGTTCACGCTTGCTTCAAACAGCTCTTACTGGTGCTAGAAGAACTATACCAACGATCCTTCAGAAGTGAAGAATCCAAAGGATGACTGCTGGTGGACAGCTGACATCTGGGGCGTGAAGGCTTTCGAAATGGGAAACAACCGCACCCTATTTCGACTAATCCAAACAAGTGCGAAAATAGAGAAACCATTCTAGAAAAGACTGGATCGTTAGTTCATTCACAGAAACGTCTCGCAGGATAGGCTGAACACTGGAGAAAATTCCACCTGGTTTCCGTCTGGGAGACCCACATGAACCTGACTGGAGTCAAAACAACAGTTCTCTGTCAGCAACATAAATCCTTCGCGAAATTTCTGTAAAATATTTAGAACGAAGGTAGATCACGGGAAGATGGGAATACCTAATTCATATTCTCATTCTTCAATTATAGTGCAGCAAAATAATGCAAAGACTAGCGTGGTATCAGTCTAGTAGACCCAACTTCATAGGTGCTGTTCGGTGTTATCCTATGCAGGTTGATCGATCTTCAGGAGAGTCATTTTCGTAGGAATCAAGCTGGCCTAGCATACGTCGACCATGCCTTCACTTTGTGGTATTTGCTTGAACTGCATCTTGCCTTCCAAACGACAATAGTCGTTTGTTGACCTAGAGGCTGCTTTCCGCTCTGTCGATGGTGAAGAACTGTGTGTTTGGTGCTGAAAGGTGCTGAATGGTGTCAGGTAAGGCTACCGCCATCGTTACCGATATGCTACCAGCGTTTTTACTCGCTTTGGGGGTCGAGATCTTCCCCGGGTGCCTGTTCAAAGACAGCATGATGGAGATAGCTCTCATTAGAAAGAAACTACTTTAAACGAAGTAAATGATTCTGCTGCACCTCACATCTGCGTCGTTTAAACTGCTTCTGCAAGAGTGGGTGGGATCAAACCCAAACCTCATGCTTGCAGGTAAGCTGATTGAGGTAGAGGATAATTTCATCTATCCGACCTGCAAAATAGGTCCCGGTGAACTCGTGGAAGACTAAACCACCCGTCGTATCCCAAACATCTATGGCGCCAATATGTCGCTATTGTGGCTCTCGACTGTACATGTCTGCGGTGAGGTCTACCCTGTTTTATTGATAGGAGACATGTCTATTTCTCAGATCTTCGAAGACCCCGTGTTTGAGTACCAGTTTTTCGAAGCATCCCGTGGTTCTGGTGCGATCACTAACGCTCAAGTGCGCCAAATGATCTTCAGAAAAATGCGCATACGATAGATTAATCTGTCACGCTCTGTACGCTAGACCTTGTGCTTTGTATGTCAGGGGACTAATGTTCTCTTATTCTGCTTATTCTCACCAGGTGAAATGGCAGGATCTGGAAACACCTTGTTATGTAGATTGTCTTATAGCTGGCTGGCTGATATTGCTATTTAAGACTTATTGTAAAATATTCACTCATATTACTTAGTGTTGCAGCAGTGTACTGAAAATAATGAACTTAAGCATTTATGCAGCAACACAATGATGAGCAAACGTGGGCGCTACGTGCGTGGAACAAGGAGAAATAGAAAGACAGTCAACATTGCAGAGGTTCCGGTCCAGAGACCGATAACCTCCGCCCTCTAATCAGATCCCTTCAGTTGAGAGGTACTGGTTTCGGCTTTTCAGTTGGCTCTCCTACTCACGGCTATCAATAATTCTGTTCTAATTCTAGTTCCTGAGACTTACTATGTAGGTAGTGTGCCAGAGTTTGGTCGTCCGCATCCAATGCAATATTCCTGGGTCGCTTTCCATTCGCATCGCGACTAGTCGGGCAGGCACCAGCCTCCACTAGAATCCGGCAAATTTTGCGTCGCCGATAGGCTGCCGCTTTGTGGAGCGCAGTTTGATTTCTGTAAAGCAGTAATTTTTTGATGAACGCATGAGATTTGTAACAGTATCCAGATCTCTCCTCAAAATACATATCACATCTAAGGAAACTACCTCGCTGTTGTTAATTGGGAGAGGACAGTCCCTCTCTATCAACCGTACGAGCGACTGATGTGGTATTTACCTCAAATTCTGATAATAGCAATGGTACATTGAAGCCAGTGCATTTCTTAATAGCACATGCAACTCAACAGACACCCTACTAAGACCAGATTTAACACAGGAAAACCATCATCATGGTAAAAGTGAAGAAAAAAGGGGGAATTGTAGCCGTTCTGCATGCAGATAGCAATGGATAGTCTTGTGAAATGTAAGCAGTGGGCTGAGGCAGACAATTTCCAGCAAATGGCTGAATTATAGGGTGCCGGGGAGACCACACAGCAACTGAGCCCACACATGCGGAAAAATGGACCGAACTGGTTCTCCAACTTTTCTTCGATCTAAATGGAACCTGAGTTGTGGTCACATAGAACGGTCACACTCGACGGTATAATCGATGAAAGTGATTTATATTTCCAACTTTGTGGTTTTTGGCCGGCAATTCTACCATAGTGGATACCAAAGTCCGGACCTCAGTGATCACGACTCCCACTTTAGTGTCATTTTCGTGAAGTGTACCAAGTGGAAGTCAATAAACTAACGGATAGAAATGAAAGTTTACAAGGGACAGCCATCCCGTTGTCACGAAAAGTTGTTGGAAGGTCTTAGCACCCATTAGACGATTGATACTTGAGTTGTTACACTGAAGGTACTGCCACAACTATCATACCAGGAGCCCTTATTGTGATACTATTTCTCCAACTACGTTCAACCGAATATTTCCACGGTGTATGAAGGTAGTCGGCTGTGCAGTACTACATGGGCAAAAACATAAACAACTCGTCGCCAATGAATGGGTTAAAGACGATACGGCGACGATCTTAACGCGAAAGCAGAGCGACAACAAAGAGGGTGTAAAGGAATATTATAATGGTTATAACGGTTATAGTGGGAGGGACAGAAGTGTTTACTACAGCCCAAGAATGCAATACCAGTGCAACATTACTGGAGAGGAAAACTGAAGGGAAACTTAACTAAAAGGAGCGATAGTATGCAAAATGCAGAGCGATAGAAGGCGCGGAAGCGGTTAACCAGATATGTTTGACTGAAGCCAGAAGTAGGACAAGTGAGGAATGGATTTATTGGGCTCAGGAATCAAATAATAAACAAGCGCACGACGATTCGGCTGCGGTGGTGCAGCGGCCTGACCGAGCTTAGATCCGATTACTGGCTGCCGCTGCTATGTACCCAACTGATCCCAGTCAAGTAATGGGCACGAAACCAAAAGTACACACAGTTATTTGAATGCGTAATTCCTTGACAGTCTACGGTCCTGGGCCACGCCCGACCACCATGCAGCGGCCGTGGGTAAACAGATTCAAGGCGCTGAGGTCAAATACTGGACAACTTACTGGAACAGCCTACCTAAGTCGGTAGACGACATCTATGTGCAACCCCAATGCAGTTCAGAGGAGACCGATTGGGCACCTTGCTAAAAACAGGCTACTCATGAGTAGTTGAGAAAAAACGTTTTATCGATTCCGAGGAACCAGCATTAAAGGTGTAGCGAAGATTTACCCGGACTTGAAAGATGGCTTATTTGTATCTGATGTTCTAAACCTTCCGATAAAATATGTTCACCAAAGTTAGTGCCTGGCACAGGATACAATTGTGCAGTCGCATGATAAATGATTTCAGGTGTATAGCATCGGGAATTGAAACTCGAGTTGTCGCTCCGTTGCACTGTGACGTGAGGATCTACATTGATCGAGGGGTGCAAATATCCTTCAGAATCAGAATTCGGGACATTTATTAGATAAGATCAAGTAGATTGAACAGGTTCAAAGTATCATGCGGTTCTTAGAGGGTGTATTTTTCTGGCATATTCTGACAGGTGCTTGCGATAAAATCATTGTCTAAGGAACAAATTCATGAACTATCAGGAGATGAAGCTATCTATTTTACAATCGAATGCTGAATTCTCAACCTGGTAGTGGCCGGGAAGAAACCTAATCCCGAACCAGATTAGAGATGCATGTGTGAACAAGTAAAAACTTTGGTTATGAATGCGTAATTAAAGAAAACCGTGCGCCGACAAGTAGCGTAGATTGGACATAGCCATCCGCTGAAGGGTGGTACGGAATGGCCGACATATGCCAACAAATATGAACACACATACAAACATAATCTGGTCACATGAGAATGAGTGGACGTAGCCGATTGCTACATCCATCCTTACAGAAAGATACTGGTTCGTAATAAGATTTCTCGGCGGATCAGTGGGTGAATCATATTCGAATGTTCGGTCCCACGGACCACAGGCAGACTTTATACTTTATATAATTTTCTTGAGTGGTTCGCATGCATTCAACAGAGCATCAGTTTGAAGACAACATTCTCTGTAAACGCTTCCGTTCAGTATGGGCTAACAAGCGTGTTCGTTTGTTTATTCCAGGCCGAACTACATAGAAAACTTTTTCTTGGCTGTAGGGTGCAACAAGTAGGAATAAAATTCGTTCGAATGTGGGAAACGAGACGATATTTTGCTCCAAGACGTTGATTTAAGTTGTCATTATTTTTCTATATCAACCTCTGGCTGAACTGGATAGTCGGGTATCCGGTACTATTCTGCCAGTGAGCATCGGTTTGTAGTTGTCAAAAATGTGAAGGTGACCAGAGTAAAAGACGTATTTACGACGCTTCCCTTTTCCGCCGAGTTTCTACAGAGCCCGCTGAAACGTTTCTGCAACCGTTGTATTTATCCATTTGACTGAGGACGATGGTACACCGTATTTGATACAAAGCCAATTGGGGAAGCTCATAAAATTATGATGAAGTAAACTGAGGGCCATTATCACTGCCTAGTATTTCTGGGGCGGCCAACTCGAAAAAGTTTGTCGCGGCTGAAATTATTCCCTGGGGATGTTTCAAACCGTTTAAAATAGACAAAAACAAGTAAAACCTAACCAATTCGGCTAGCGGGCCCCATAGGCTTTGTGAAGGTGGCCAGGGCCATAGTTCACAATTTAGAGAAAGCTTTGAAGCCAGGGTGCCCAGACTCAGACAGTAGGAAGATTGGGGTTATAAACCAGACTTTGTTTCGAAAGACCAACCACAAGGTCTTGGTGGTTAACGTAAGACTATTAAAGTTGACAATTTTTAGGAGCAGTTGGCCACACTTTACAAACCGCAACCTGGAGGACCAGTAGAGACCTCTGTGATCAACTAGTATGAGAGTCTGTGTGACATCAAGCGCACACTCCTCACTATGGCTCAATCAGTTATGGAGGTACACAGGTCTACACACCACGGTAAGGTTCATTCTCTTTGTATCAAGTATGGTTATGGAAAGGACTGTCCACAGTACCAATGTGCAATGGGTAGATGTTGTGGGCGTGTGAGACAGTCACGACCGTTGCAAGTCGCAACAAAATAATCTCTTGCTCGATCGGCCGATGCCACCCAATTGAAATGTGGAGTATTTTGTAGCACCTATGAGTCGCTACTCATCTGCATTGAAGCCCTAGACTGGAAGTTCTGTGACAGCGTAAAACCTCACAAGTAGACGGGTCCCGAAATGTGCTTCATCTGAAGATGTCTATACTGCCACGCCGTGAACAATCCGAAGGATGTACCTGCTAACCGATTAGTTTGTAAACGTTCGCACAACCGATTAATTTTATCCGCATGTGAACATATCTCTGGTTGACTGCCTTGAAATTTTCAAACGGCTATACATAATGTTGAATGCGGAAATCATTTTGCCAAAAAATGGCTGCAGCCTAGTCTTCCAGGCGGAAGTTGCTCGAATTCCGTGGTAAGAGGTAATGGCAGCAGTCAGCATATTCTGCAGCGCTGAGCGTCGGCATTAGCGGGTGTGCTTGAGTGGGTTCGTCTAAGTATGTGGCATTGACACGACACCAAGTGCCTTATGCAAGACCATTACATAGATCAGTTTAGACCAGTAAATTACAGAGGCAAATGATTCCTCCAGTCGAGGTTGAGAGATGTGTAGAGCGCCTGTTTGCGAATAGCTACGAACTCTTCTGCGCTGGCCTGCTGATTTGCCTGGCTTGTAGCATTCCCGTACCAGTATTTATGCAACCATAAGTTAGGTCACCTTCTTTTGGCTGCTATCGTTTATAGCACTATAGTTCTAACAGTTGGATAGAAAACCAAAACCTTACTGGACGACACCCACGTGCGTGAACAAGCGATAACGGCTGGCACAACATTCAACATGCAAACAAAACAGTGCGACGACCAACACCCTGGTGTGGGACAGTGAACAGAAGTCAGCAAAATAAACGCACACAGTATTATACTGTTTGGACATATCTAACCATTACATTATCCGCTCCGAGGAAATCCTATAATATGGTGGGGGAGCTCACTGTGGACTATCCCGGGAAGTGACCCGTATTCTGGGAAGTTCTGTACATAGTTACCACAAAACCGTCCTTCCCACCCCGTAAAAAATTGTGTCAAAATAATCCTGAAATAACATTTACAGTGGACTAACATAACACTGGTGACCCTGGCACAACAACGCAGTTGGACCGTTGGCTAAATAGCATAACACAAACAACAACAGTGTATGAAGGTCTATATTGAACTACGTGGTCAATTTAAAACTCACTTTTCATATTCCCTCATTTCTAGTAGCTCGGGAGGCGCTGTAAAAGAATGAAACGTTCGGATATGGATGCAAGATGAGATGTGTTAATTGCTGACAAGGCTTAGGAATTCCGGACCTAAATCGACTCAGATCTTGTTAGACGAATTGAGCAGCGTGAGGCGTATAAAGTCAAAATACAACGTACTGGCATAAGGTGTTATAAACGTTTTAGCTGTTGTAGATACTCATCGACCCGAAATTTGATCTTTAAGATACTTATTGACATCTTATTTCACTACACTGTGCTTTGATTTTGAAGGTTCCATAGGATATCTGGTAGTGTTAAAAAATTGATATTTTTCCGCGTCACCTTGTTCGTTGTAGACTGCTGAATGTGATGCGTTTAGACAACCGATTTAGTATAAACTGGATGGACAGTCTATTATACTATATTTCAAATATTTTTGGCTGCCATCCGGGCATGTCTATCAAAAGCAAGACAAAAGTACGAATGTTCTGTTAGCCCGATAACTGAGTAATCACAGTGCCTCTTCATCAGCAAGAAATTCCTTTATCTTAGCGGTACCAGTAATTTGGGAGGTGCACTAGAAATCATATATTCTGGACGATAGACATGCTTTTTAGCGCGAAAGAAAATGTGGTCCGTGCTACTTCAGCATGATAGTATTTGGACTATGGCATAATCTTGACCTTCAAGACTCTTCCAGACCTTAAACGGCCAACCTAATCGGTCGGAAGCTAAAACCGGTCGGAGAAGTAGGCGTTCTTGAGAATGGAGTTTTTTCTTTGCACTTCTGTTGCCAAAGTCAGCGGCGAGATGGCTGAGCAAACTCCATCCATCGTTCAGTTTGTGTTTGGATTATAAAAGGATCAGGTAGCTAAAAGGATTAGGTATGAGCAAACAGCAAATGAAAACATGTATCAAACAGCGGAATAACATAAATCTTCACATCGTCGTATGATCAATGGTGTACGTTGTTCCTCAGCATTATCTTTGTATCGGGGAATAGCGAGCAACGTTGGCTGTTTTTGAGTCGAAACACCCATAAGTGGAAAGCAACAATTTCAATCCGGTAGAAGAAGGATGGAAAATTCGTCTTCTCAACCTTGCTAACACACACTGGGTGGTAGTGTAGACATATTTTTAACAATTTTACAGATTAGCGATGTATCTAGTGGTTTTGTCTGAGTTCCATCCCTTACGTCTAGTCTTTATCGAAGTTCTATTCTCATACCTGTTCCTCGACTTGCCATAAAATGACCGAAAAGGCTTGTTATTATTTTATTCTGTTATTTATGCACGGGCCGTTGCAATGATACACGAAACATCAACACAAACGTCATCTTGTGAATTATTTGGGAACCCGAATAACTGAGACAATAAGCTTCGATAACCTGGCACCTACGGGGGACACTTCGCTTAACCTTAACTTGTAGTAACTCGATTCGTTTTCGCACGCACAGTACGCGAGGGAGGTGTGAAGAACGCTAGTAAGGACACCATGGGCAGATGATAAATCAGTGGCTAGGGGCGTCATCTTCAAGCCGAACTCACGAACTATTGGACATGAAGTGGAAATCAACAAATCCTTACCAAGTAACTCTGCAATGTCAGATTCCAGGCCCCCCAATTTTGCCTTACAGTGCGCACTGATTTGATCAGAGAACCCTTAACAGATAACACTTTTCTGAAATCGACTGCGAACGTAGCCTAACTACGCCGGTAGTGTGCGTGCACTTTGGGGGAAAATGCTCCAACAAACGCACCATTCTGATGTAACTGTCTTTCTTGTGGGGTGGAGTTCAACACACTGATCATCCCTTTATGCGGCTCCAGGACGAGCAACACTTTGTACGCTCTAGAATTTTTGTGCTGTTGGAATTTTGATTAGAGGTGATAGCCGACAAATGAACACTGCCGGCCTCCACTATATTTGTCGAAGATATTCCGTCCCAGGCAGTGTGATGGTTGAACTCAGATGTCCTTGTGCGGATTGGAGTCAGGCCTGTGAACAGGCTAATCCAGTGTCTTACTGAAACCATACACTTTGCACCACATTTAGCAGCAGATATCCGAATTCACACGGAATGAAAGGCTGCCATGAACACTTATTGACAACCTAAGTTGAAAATGAGTACTTTTTAAAACATACTTAAAGTTTGCTGTTCATGTAAGAAGTAAGCTTGACAAAGAACTCAGAAACTATAACTACCTGATGAGCCTTAAGGAAAGCAAGGTAAAGTGGTAGGATGTTCAGAATTTTTATTGACTTTAGAAGAAGTAATTGAAACAACTTATTCGGGTTCCGATGCATAAAAAGATTGTTTGTTTTTCTCTTAGAATCCTTAAATGCGTTTTTGCATTTTCAAAAGTTACACCCCAAGTCATCACAAAAACAATTCCGTAACTTTGTTGAATCGATACAAAGTTCTATCTTGTGTTATGCTGGTAGTATGTGGGTATATCGTGAGCATCAAAACCAAATGCCGTTCGTCACTAAAGCCTCAACACCTGGATCACTGAAACAGTCATCATGCGATTGAAAGCGGGAGAAATGTAGCAGTGGGCCATGTATTTCGAATGCAATCCATTCGTGTGTTTTGGAACCGGTGTTATCTCGAAGGATCACCACACACACACCCACACACCTGTTTTCCTCCATTTACGGAGAAATGGAGGGACCCTATCCGTTGATGATGCCTTATCCACACTCTCAAGGATTTAGGATAAAGCTTTGTGTACATTGACACATTGTGATGAAATCCGAATTAGACAGGTATAAAAACAGAGATTATTTCGAGATAAGCTAGGTGACCGGTATTCAGGGCGTTCATTTCTAAAATAGTTGAGAGAAGCAAGAACCCAGTGGGTTATTCAATCCTCATGCATGAGTACCGTTAAAACGGAAGTTAAACTGGGACTTCGGATAAAGCCAACTTAGTGCTCCATTGTCGAGTTGGATAGTGAATGATTGGTCAGTTTTCTCAAAGCCTGTTCCATGATATTGTTCGTGACTCACCTTGTTTGACTAACAATCTGACTGCAGCTTCACAGCCGAACTTCGCAGCCAGGTGCAATGCAGATCGCCCCCTGTAGTCCACTGCCAGTGGATTCGCTCCAACGTCGAGAACAGCCTCGATGTTCGTGGAGACGCCTTTCCGCGCTGCGCTCAAAAAAGCTTCATGGGACGGATGAGGAGGATAGCAAGTTTGCCAAGGAGAAGCAGATGTTAAATTAAAGGCTTGATCAAAAAAGGTTCCCTAAGACGACATAACCTGCGACCCAATCCCAACAATCAGTGATTAGTTCTCAATGTGAATTGGAGTACTTTCGAGCCGCATATGTGAGCCAGACAAATAAAGTCCACTGTACCAAAAACGCACTGGCGAAAGGTAAAATAGACGAAGAGTATCCTGCATATCAGTCCTAAAAGAATAATACTATGCTTACCACATGGCTCCTCACACTTTATGGCCACCTGCAATTTGACTGTAGATCTCACAGTCGTGCGGATGCGCTTGTTGCTGAGTAAATTCTCTGAGACGTGGCTAATGTTATGCAAGCAGTAGGAGGTTTCACTATATTCCTGCCAGAGCTGAATCTCTTATTCACTAATCCTGGCCCATGAATTGTTTGGCGTAAAGAATTAAGGGGATTGCCACTGGGAATATATTTTTTGTTCATACAATGCATAACACAACCAAGCATAATATTCAAATGTATAATTACTTGCTAGTTGAAGGCTCCAGTAAACGTAAGAACACCTTGGAAGTCCAAACATTGCAGCGTGTATTCTTCGGAACTCATCTTCGGCCACAAAAACTCGTGAGAGCTTTCGAGTACACCGAAGCTTAGGGTTTTCACTATACGGCCCTGGAGTCTCGATCTAAATATATGCATTCTTACATACATTCCACATACATTCTCACTGCGAGTGGGCGATACAGAGTTGAATTCCAGTCACAGATTTGGATGCAATTATGAATCAATCTTCCATATCTCTTTACTATATTGTTTCGGCAATCGGCACGAAGCGTAGAGTTGGTGGATTTATCACATGACCTTCCCGGTTACGATTATTCTAGTATGGATGCAGGGTCTTGTGTCTTCACTGAATGGCTTGCCACTTGCTACTACCATTACTTTTGAAAACCTTTGTTATACTCTAAGGAGGAGCAGCCTCCACCAGGTATGGCGACCATCCACATAGAGCAGACCAGGAGATAAGTGAACTTTTGGTTTCTTCTGAGGCTGCCCTGAAACATTTTCCTCTCTGGATGGCCCTTCTGAGACGTAGCCTCCTTTCGTCAGGATTTCCATTTTGAGGTTTACTGAAGTTTGTGTCATGAGAGCAACAAACAGGAACTCCTCAGATGAGGTGTGGATCACAAGTTGACTTGCTTACCTTTATCCAGACGTGTCTGAAACGACTGCCCTTCCAGGTTGGGCTTGCATTCTTTTCCAGAACGACGAGGGTGTTGTTTGCGGCGCGTTATTTTGTGTTCCATTCGAGTGGAATCTGTGGAGACAAGTTCAGTCACACAAGGCTGTCCACTTACAGAACTGATCAAGCTATCATTTCTGGGAGCTGGATTTGGTTTTTTTATGGATAATCGTCGGGACTCATCAGTCTGATAGGGAGTAATTTCATTACCAGGATTTTCGGAATCCTTTCCGTTCGTCAGGGGTTCTGTTATTATTGGCTCAGCTTCTGTGGTGATTAGCTGGTTTATCAATTCATCCACTGTGGTTTGCAGTTGGTCATCCACTTCGATTCCCGATTTCGCGTCAGGATTTTCGCCAGTTACAGAATTTTCTGGCTGACCATCACAAGCGATTAATGTGCTGTTCTGCAAAGGTTTCATTTTATCCGATGGGTTAGCGCTGTAAGTAACCAGGTAAAGGGAATCATTGGGATAACAAGAAAACCCCTCTAATACTCACAAGTTTAAATACAGCTTAGATCCTTCTAAATGAGCCTAGTGGGTAAAACGACCCGCAACCAAGTTTCCAGAGCACATGTTACATGTTTTATTCATATCAACAGAAAGAGGAATGACAAACGTCCAAGTATACTACGAGTTCGGATGAGTTCACGTGCAGCGCTCTTTAAATCTCGATCAACACAGAGCTCTGTTTGAAAGCAGGGGTGCAGCAAGCAATTCAACTGGTCACACCTTTAAAGAACCTCTAAGAAACTCGTAATAAGTCACGTTTGGGGTGAGAGGAAATCATCCATGTAGTGGTTTGGCTGCAGCAGTCGGCTTAAGAATGATGGGCACTATTCATACACACGTGACTAAAAACAAACCACGATTCTGTTTACACATACGACATTAAAGCATACAACGTGAAGCGATCGGATTCTTTACGTACCATGTCTGATCCTCAGTGTCAGCTATCTGCAAATGTTGCTCCAGCATCTCTTCCTTCACTTTGGTTTCTTGTGAAGACCGTTCCAAATCAACAGGCTCCTGGTGAACATCAGCAGTAGTTGTGCATAACTGTAAGAATAGAAGATAAAAGCAATCACACCAGTCAGGGCAATTTGCTGACCACTAGCGAACGGAAACAGCTGAAAAATCAAACACTGCATACTGAATTAGGGTACGAAGGCATAGCCTGCAACATAGCCCATTAGAGTCACGATAGAGTCGGTGGTTGCGTACCTCTGAATTTCTCATATTCGAAGTGGGCCTAGCTATAGAAGGAACTGGAGCAAAGTTCAGGAGTGTTTTAGGCATGAAAAAAGAACTGTTTTTTTCTTTGTAATGTACTACTCATAAGGTTGCTGAAAATCCATCGCCTGAGGACATCATAAACGAGAGATTCAACTGGGTTCCGGGTGAGTCTCTCGAAAGAACCAAATTAGTTTGCAAATGAGTGTAAATTCGCTAACTGTTTGTTTCAACTAAGAGTTTCCTAAACTCAAGGACGGGAAAATGATAGTGAGGCAGACGGGGCTTAATAACGAAGCATGCCAGAATAAGGTACAACAACTGATAGGTTTTCCTTGATAGGGCAAATTTCATGGGAACTCCTAAACTCCCAATATCTATATCGGTCCGCTTTGATCGCATCAGGAAGGCCTGGTCCCATAATCCAACCACTGAAGATTTCGAAATAAGTATCTATCGGGCAAAGAAGTTTGACTTTTCCTGGAGTTATTGTTCCTAACTTCCTGGATGAAGGAGGATTCAAATGATGATTGGTAATATTCATTTCAGGAACAAATCATCGTTATCGCCATGTAGCACGAGTGAAGAGTAATGTGTCACGTTTGCACAGTGTACTGTGATGCCGATGTATCGTACTAACTGAAACATGAGGCGGCATGATGCAGCACATTCAGTTGAAGAATATCATATACGGGAAATTTTCTTGATTCTTCTGTGAAAACAAAATAGGTATTCAGATGAGTGCAGTTCTCTAATTCCGTGCAATTCGCGTTCAAGTAGAGCATAAAGTTGAGAGAAACTCGGAGACTGCGCCTAGCTGAAAGGTGAAATCGGTCACGGTTTGTCCAACAGTTTTCAGCAACCCTATGTGTGTTGCGTTCATACGAGTAATAATTTGTTTGTGAAACGTGGCCACTCCAATTCGAAAATGACAAAGACCTCCTAACATTTGATCTTTGGTGTGCTGGTAGCAGAGCAGGAGTTGGTATGCTCAGATCAGAGTGTAAGGAACAAAGCTTATTAGGGTCAGATAGTCGGGACATATATTAGGCAGACATACCAATAGATGCCAGGGAAACAGCTGTTTTACATTCTCAACGACTGATGCGAGAACGTCCGCGGTGGGTGGGCCATAGTTGTATAATGGAAAATTGAAGCAAACGCAGTTAAGTTGGGTCACTGCGCCTTCCTGGCTTTGATGTTTGGGGATCTTGATCGTGTTTGAAGGCCGTGTAGGCGAGGACATGGAACCGGGATCCATGGACGGTTTACTCATGGAAAATTGAAGCAAACGCAGTTAAGTTGGGTCACTGCGCCTTCCTGGTTTTGATGTTTAGGGATCTTGATGGTGTTTGAAGGCCGTGTAGGCCAGGACAAGGAACCGAGACCCATGGACGGTGTACTGTTACTTCTTGAGCGGCATACTTATCTGAGGTTAGTCTCGTTTTTTCCTGCGCTTGTGTTGAATAAGGCTTTTGAAGTATTCTGTCTTGATCCCACTGATGGTGATTTTTCTTTACTGTGAACCTAAGGCATTTATTTAACTCCACGCTGTAGCCGATATAAAACTTTTTTTTACTTTAGGCCCCCAACTTTCCTCTCTTTCCGCTTTTTACTCGGACGTTCTGCTTCCACAAGGGTGTGGCACTTAGGCTGTTATAAACGTGCTTGTGTCGCGGATGAAGGTCATATTGTTACTTTTGATGATGCCTTCGATGGCGACGAGGACAATACTAACGATGATGACGGTGTATCTTCCTGAGGCTTTGTTATGTGGTGACCGGTATAGAATCGGAGGGCCGGCCTCGGTTTTACTTCTCACTGCTGCTGATATGGAGTAGTACACTGCGTATGAGAACAATATGGGGTTGGTAGGGGACAGACAGATCAAGCGAGTGGCTTCATTTGGTTGTTGGTCATACAAAATGAAATGAACCAAAATGCTTTTTGAAAAATACTGAGAATCTCATCTGTAAATCCAAGCGAATACTTCACCTTTCTCTCTTCAACTTGCTGGGTTTCCCCGGTTGGTAAACTAGTGTCTGCTAATTTCATCTGGGATATTTCTCCACCTTGTAAATTTCCTGGCGTTTCCAAAACACTGCGCTCACCAACTGGCTGCGTGTACTGTTTGTCCGCGGTGTGTACATCCGACGATATTTTCCCGCTTGGCGTCCGATCGATCAGTCGTGGCTCCAACCCGTCGTCGATAAGAAAGAGTTCTTCCATATTGCAAATGTCAAGGATAAAGTGAGCTGCCTCCCGTTTCGAATCGATCCGGAAAAATCTAGATGCGGCTGTGGTGGCTAGATAGTAAAACAGGGCGGAGACGAACTCTTAGGGATTGTAAAATTTTGTCCACGGATACCTACCGGCTTTCTCAAAAGGGAATTCCAAGCTATCTGCACAAGGAACGAAATTCTAAACTTAACGACAGTCGTTGGCGCTGTCGATTCCAAGCTTGCCGGATGTTTGTGCCCAGATGGATTTAGTCATTGTTCGGACGGAGACAGACTGTATATAACTGCTCGCGGACTATTTGTCGTTTGACTATAAAGGTTGCTATTATACCTGAAAACTTTTGTCTACTCTGCACGAACAACTAGATCGTGGGTCACAGGTTGTCCGGATGTTTCGAGCTAGTCTTCGACTATTAAGTTTTCCTAAGAGCAAAATGGTTCTCTTATGCACAGGTTTGTGGCATAAGACTGATACGTTCAGCACGATGTAGCACAATATCTAGTGGTAGATTGTGCCAGTATTCAGAATCGACTGTCACATTTCATGAGGTTTTCGTCGCTCATATTGTTTAGAATCCCGTTAAAGTAATCTGTCATAGAAATTGGCAAAATCTGAAACGACAGCCAAAAGGTGGACAGCATTGATGAGACAATAAAAGGTAGACGAGGTGACTATCTTATTCCTACTGAACTGAATAACGCAGAACACTTACATCAGGTGATCACCTATCATCTCATTGTCAAGGACACTCCAAGTATGTTAATTAAAACGTGTACGGAATACACATACTTTAGGCAAAACGTCAATGTGTTCCATTCAAAGCATACACTTAGTCGATATTTTCTAACAAATTTTTGATCATTTCAGCCTATGATTGGACCCTTAAACACGGGAGATTGGCATTTTCTGAGCGCATTTTAGATAGCTTCTCACCACTTGATTGGTCCTAAATCGATTAAGCATTGCTTATCCAAAAACCAGCACAATGCCCGTGGAAATAAGAAAGTCTTCCTATGAAGATAAACTAAGCTTATCTGGATTCGAAGATTAGGTGTAATGCATAGCGTATGTGTTTTATTGACGGAATACTACTCACAAGGTTGACGACATTAATATGCGAATAAATGTTTCGTAAAAGGCCAAACTTGAGTGGTACGACCGTACTCATTGTGGCTCACGCTTCTTACTAGAAACGGGTGTTGAAAGCCACTGTCTCTGAAACAAAACCTCCGAGATAACCATCAGCACAGGTAGGAGTAAGGTATGAACCGGGTGCAGATCAAGGCATCTGTGGGAGTTGAATATTTGAGCATGCGGTACACAAGCGCTATTGGAAAAACCCTGTTTTCTCAAATTTCCTGGACGCCCTAATTCCTAGGATAAGAACGTAGGTATAATGATGGAGGAATACAACAGCATACAGAACACCGAGTTTCAGCCGAGACCGTGTTAGGTGAATTTATTGCTAATGAAGTAGCCGACAGGTGTGGAATTCATTCAGAACTACGCTGAATGGATGGTCAAAGCAAAAGCCCGGTTAAAAAATGAAAAGAACTATGTAAGTTATACGGGGAACGTATATTCTAGATTTTTCTGCAATCACTTCACTATTATTTCAAGTTTGAATTTCCGCTAACCCTTCGTGCGCGGGCGGATATCGCTTGTGGACTCAAGAAGTTATCTATCAGATTAAACGAAGGCAGTGGGTGGGCCAACTGATAATCATGATGGTTTAAGCATCGACCATATTGCGATCAGGTAGGTCCTATTTATCAACACATTAACACTCTCTAACAGGCTTTAATCCAGCCGTCCTCACAGAAATGAGGGGAGTGAAAAAATTCACTTTTCTGACGCATTAAGTAGTCATCATCTTGACCAACATATTCGCGAACTGAGGTTCCCATATGCAAAGAAATGCAGAAGCATCACTACAAGTTTGACAGCTTTCTTTATTCCAGTATTCGTATTAGTAGTCCACGATAGTCATCCAAGTCAAATTTTTTCGTCCCTTAAGAACACCTCACTCGATTTCAAGTTTTAAGTAAAATGAGTATTGACCAGGTTCGTTCCATAACTCACCCGCGAAACTTTAGTTATCATCTAGGCGTAAACTAGACGTGACTAGTACTTTTCCAATTACCGCATGGTAGCGAGTCTGTCTTCCAGCTACAAGGAATATCCCTATGCCCCAGAAATCACCGAGATTTGCCTGATACCTCATGCTGCTATGAATCAATTGGAATTGGACATTTTAGAGTTTTCAGGTTCATTTGATTCATCAGTATACTGCGCGGGGATTGTCCATAATAAGCTGGAATTTTCTCAACATTTTGCCATCACATCCTGATGACCATTGTCACAGTGTTACATTCGCAGTGTTAGCAACTGACACAAAGATGTCTCATAGTGTCGCCTCAAAGTTTGCCTGTTCAAAACGAATGCTTCTCACAGTTTGTAAGTAACCGAGAAATGTCGATGTTTCATTTGGAGGCACTTTTTCTGAAAAGACAGAAACACTCTACATCTGCTACATTCTGGATATTAGTCATCATCACCCAAAGCTTCACTTATCTCTAGGAGGAAAACACTCAAGATACACACCAAATACGATATTATTCGGTCAAGAGTGGCTAATTAAGGCCTGTGATATTTCCCAACAAGCGCCATGCAAGTGTACCATGCCTGTCTTTCCGGTGTGGACGAAATTGCGATCAAACTATTTTCCAGTTGGTATGCCTTCAGAAGAGAATGTTTCATCCATCCTTTCAATTAGTTTCGTCAGAAAAAAAACTATTTGACGCAGTTATTGGAACCAAAAATCCAGTCGGTTTAGAAAGTGCCTCACTGCAATTTTTTTATTGACCGTTGGTAACATGAGCGGATTGACTATTAGTTGCCAATAAAACGTCGAAATTTGAAGAGTAAGTTGGTGCTAACAGGAGTCTCAACTGGATGCCAACTGAATCTCTAGTTGAAGTTTTTTTTCATTTGAATGTGCTGCAAAATGCCGTCTCCTATTTCATTCATTCGAGGGACTCAGGTGCTGCAAAATGCCGTCTCCTATTTCATTGGTATGATATTCGAGGGACTCATCTGGGATTCATTTGAGTCTCTCCTTAACACCAAACTAGTTTGTATTTGGGGGTTTGTCAGTCGCGTATTATTTGGGCTAAAATAGAGCATAAAGTTGACAGGAGCTTAGGGACTGAACCTAACTGATAAGTGCCGAGAAGACAAGAACCGCTGCTGGGCTGGCAAACTTATGTGTGGTGGTCGTGCACAACCACCGACCCAACCCTACGCTCCACTACGATACAGGAGCTTAGGGACTGAACCTAACTGATAAGTGCCGAGAAGACAAGAACCGCTGCTGGGCTGGCAAACTTATGTGTGGTGGTCGTGCCCAACCACCGACCCAACCCTAAGCTCCACTACGATCTCTAACAACACATTGATGATGTCACCTCGATTGGTGATGAAATGTTTGCAATCAAACTGCTCAGTTCAGCGAACAAACCAATGACAAACTATTCTACTTCAGCTACCAGCATTCTCCTCCATAGCAAACTTATGTGCATTGTGTTGTGCCGAGAAAATTAGGGTATTATTTTCTTACAAGTTAACTGTAGATCATATTTCAAAGTAAATTGTGTGGATATAAATTAGTAAAAATAATGCGATGACGGATTACGATGGTACTCAGTAGTGCCCCCTCGGAGGGACCTCCCCGAAGACAGGTTTTACACAGGGGTCGGATAACCATTGTAGTTGTAAAGATTACTGTTAAAAGATCAGCTCATGTCGACCGCTGGAGGTGTAATACAGTATGATTACTCGCGAATAGTCAGGGATTTTCTTCTAACTTATGTTCATCCTTGATGTGGATTTGACAATACTTCAACTATAAGCTCGGGAATTAGGCGGATATTATTAGGAAGGACGGTGAACAACACAGGCCTGTTGGTCTTTTTAAAAAAATCAAATGACTGAGAACCCTGCGAAATCTTAAAATCATGACTAGCGGGAGAAAGCCGGTACAAAATATTATTTAGAGGCTGGTTAGAATACAGAATACACAAATTATAAATCGAATCCGCTAAAGAATTGTCAGCGAACTGGCTTGGAGAACAAGCTACATCGAGATTTAAGTCTACGCCAGGAACATGTACATTTCGGTGCGTTAATTAACTGTGACACAACGTTTACCTGGGAAAATTCAATGTGAAATCTTTTTAAATGCGTTTGTTTCTCAGTTATGGGACACTAATTCAATGAGGAAAGGTTGCTGGTGCGACTTTCGGGCCAACGGTGATTGATGTCTGAAGCTGCCAGTGCCCATACTTACAATCAACGAATAACCACGAGTCGGACAACCGAAATCCTGGAGTCGATTCTTCCTTGTTTCCGGCGGACGCCTCTGCAGCACCAGAGCCGATTAGCTGTACGATCGATTTCCGGACTGACGAAAGGCTTTCCTGCGGGCTGACTGAGACACATCCGTAAAAGATGGCTGAACAAATTGAAGTTTGGGGGGGGGGAATAAAGGGAATGAACGATGTGACAGTCAAATGGATAATGTACATTCCTATTAGAAGTATAAACTTCCGGAACTCAGAGCTGATGTCAGCTTTGTGGACATTTGTGTCGTTCACATTGACTGGAACTTAAGCCAAACTCATCAATCCTAGTAGAATTAGTGGCAACACACCGGATACACTTCTCCAAAGATCACAATTTGAACGATAGCCTATAAAGCTCTTTGGGACTTTGCAAATCTGGGGCCAGCATTTGAATCAGCAGCTGTCAAACTTTGTGGATTATTAATCAAAGACACTTGAAGAAAATCCTACAACCCACACACCTGCATTTTTTCATTTGTGCAAACCCGTCACGGCCACATAACTAATCGATTTAAGTGAAAGATGACAAACTGTGTGGTGTCCGGTTTTGCGGGGCTTGTTGCATCCAAGATGTTCGAGTATGTCACAGTTAGCCAATTTGTTTATAATAATTGTGAAGGGAGCTGAGAGAAATGAGACGTCGCCAGATGGTGGTGAGTTGATGCTCGAACAAGATACCATTTCCGATTCTGAAGGATACTGGGGGCTGGTCATCAGGATCACCCATATTTTGATGGTAAGGGATTTGAGGCCAAATTCTCAATGTGAGGGGTACTGGGCGGTGTGTGTTAGTACGTGCGCACGGTGAAAACAACCATTCCTTCCTTGTTGCAAATATGCTTGTAAGACAACCTCATTGATTAGACACGATAGCCTATTGCTGTTACTGCGTTAACTAACAGGAGCTTTCATTCCCCGGGCACGTGCCTCTCGCGGCACTAATTTCGTATGTTTCACTCGATTGTGTGTGTGGGGGGGGGGGGGGGGGGGGGGAACTACGGACAGACCACGATGAAATTTCTTCTGCTTTTTCCATTGGTTCACAATGGAGGGGGTTACATTAAGGACGACAAAGCCTACTTTGGGAGAAGGCAAAGTTGTTCCCTCTCTGACTGACGAGTTCCCTTTGTGTTCACAAATGATTTACATAAGTCTCGAAATGTAACCGGTCGATCGCTTGTCTTTTCACCCACTAGTTGTCAAGATATTTATTTTTTAATGACATATATTATTGATGTTCCATAGTTTACACATGGTTCTTGAATTTTGTGATGTGCTGTGTGTGTTTATTCTCACTATGGCTAGTTGTCATTTAGCTCCACAATTGGTATTTGCGAGCCGTTTTAAAGAAAAATAACTTTTCTTAACGATCACAACTTAGACAAAGATCCCATGGTATCAGACCTTATCTATTTGAGGTTTTTACTGGCGCATCTTGCTAACACTTTCTCCCCGGTTGTGACCAAGCGATTCATTCAAGCGAGGTTTTTATTGAACTGTTAATGAAATTATAATTCTCAAGTGGATTTTCTTCACTTGCCAGCATTTCATGTACTTATATGATTGTGCAAATGATAATACATAATAAAGTGAAAGGTGAAAGAATGTACGCACAAACTTGAGTTAAACATAGGTATGATAGGTAAGGGGAATTGGATGGGAAGGCTTTTTTTTATGCAAAATGAGTGGAACTCACCCGCTCCTCTGAGGGCCAAGGCATCTTCCGAAATATACTCATAGTCCCTCAGTGAAATGACAAAGATATTGAGGCGAACTTGATCTGTGCGTTGTCCACCGAAGTAAGCACTAGTGTCGCTGAACCCATTCAGCAGATGAAAAACAGAGGAAGTATTAAGCTCATCAAAGTATGTTGGATTAGCAAGGTGCAAAAGGAGTAGAACCCGAGGATGTATATAGCATTTTTGTGAGCTCTAAAGCAGAACACAATAATACGGTTGATCAGTGGTCAGAGTTCATATAGCACACCTCAACAATGAACGAAAACAGCAGTGACCAAACTGAGCTGGGTGAACGCAGCGACTCACTTGTATATCTGGCTCAACTGTGAATAGGTTTAGTGGGCGGAAAATAACAAAATTCACATAGACTGCACCCTAGACAGTGGAAAGAATAAGACTGCGTGTACTTGTAAGCAATCGCGGGCTATCTATTCACCGATCTCGTGTTTCCTTAAGGCGACATTCAAATCAAATTTTTTCGCAGTCAACTACATCATTTTACCAATAGAGTTTTGCATAAATTACTTCGGGCGACTGTCACTATATACTTCGTGGGTTGAGCAATAATGTCATCCAGTATTTGCATTCAGAAAGTGAAATACCACTTGGCTATAAAGAAGAGATCGCCTTCAAAGCTGTTTCATTATTTTCGAGAATCGTCAGCAGTGTGAACCCCATCAAACTCTATGGAAACCGGAACCATTGGTATTCCTGTTGGAAGCTGCATACTGCACTGTTCGACAAAAGTGCTGATCACTAGTGTGATAAACTCGCAGTTGGCGCGGTTAGGCGTGAAATTACTGACCGGAAGGTCTGTGGTTCAAGCCCGACCTCTGCCTTTCGACTTTCCCTGTCTAGGCTTGGGCAACCTGGCAGTATCCCAGCCCTTGTGCTTCCTTCGCATGTCATGGCAGCTAGGCACCGAAAGGGTGTTACAGCTGACTGGTTATTATCCTATATATGAACTGTGTGATTGAAGTTTGGTGACGCTTTATTGTATCTGGCACAATCATTCAAGACTGAATTTTATACTGACCAACTGCTGCGATGCATGTCGCAGGTCCCAGTGTCAGCAGAGACTCGTGATTTGAACACAATTTATAGTTTCAATGAAAAATAAAGGCATACAGTTTTGCTTTTATTTTTAGCGTGGGTGGGCTTATGTGAATGGCCCGAACCCAGGGTAAAATGGCGCGGTTGCTGCTAATTATAAGTTGTAAGATCGAGTGCAATGAGGACTAGACTGCAAGCATTCGACCGGCTGCAACGTACCGCTGACTCCAACGACAAAATTAAATAAGAATGAGAAAGATTTTCAGCCTTCATTGCAAGCGCAAAATATATCCTTTTCCATATTTTCTGTTGCTATTCCACTTAGGCGCAGCCTAGTGTAATCAACTTCAGCCAGGCAGCCGGCCGGTCAGTCAGTCAACCAGCCAGTTTAATCATCATGCAACCACAGAAAGCAGAATTTTTCATACTTTAAACTCTAGAGGTTTGGAGACTCAGCTGGTTACACTAGAGCCACCAACATATCGGCTATTATGAGACGTGGCACACCAAGTTTTGGGTGTATTCGAGTTAGGTAGCTTGAGCACGTGGTGTACTGTGCGTGCAACTCCTGTGACCATGGACGCGAACTAGCGATTGAAGACGAGGAACGGAAAAATGACCACATGGATCAGAAAAATTGGAAAAAAGGTTACCGTGAACTGATAGCTCACTGTTAAGTTGACATATCAGAAAGAGTTGGTCATCGCAGTTTTAATCAGCCGATCTGCATGAATACTATTAGTTAGTTTGGCACAATGGTCCGGTGTGGTTTTTCGAAAACAGAGCTCACAGGCAGTAGGCGGACGAAGTTAAAAAGCGGTGTATCACCAAGTTAGACACATCTTAATCCAAAGCACCAACTGATTGCGCACCAAAACGCACACATGACAAGCGACACAGTGGACAAACCGTACAATCAGTTTTTGTGATAAATCGAAAGTGAGTAGTATATGATCCAGAAGCAAATGCGTGGTGATTAGCATTACCAGAATGATGAAACAGAGCGGGAGGAGGAATGGTAAATGGAAGAGGTGGAAAGGTGTAAACAAGGTTAAGATTTCCAAAAGTTCTGCCGAAACTCTCTAATAGTTATTGTAGAACGAATTATAAGGATAGGGGAAACACAAAGAATTGATCCTGCCAGTTTCAGTTAGTTTGGGATAGTTGGGTCTGGTTACACAAGGTTATTTGCAAGCTTGTTGATGAAACCACCGCTTCTTTCACCCGGTCTAACTAATTTTGTGATTATGTGGCAGCTAGGTAAGTAGTATTCGTTGCACACTGTCTAAGAAGATGAACCACATCATAACAGAGAAAATTGACTAGCATGAAAGCGGACTATCCGCACTTAGTGACTTGTTGTTTCTGTTTACGAAGCGGTATTCTGATTGGCATCGACACAACTTTCTGTAAGTCAAGTTTACTCACCGACTCAAAGTACCGGAATGCCTGCCGGGCTTTTGCACAACCAGAGCTTGATGTGAACATCGTATTTCAATTTTTGACGGTAACAGGCGACAGGGTTCCCCGTCCATTTGCATTGGGATCACTTTATCGGTAGTCAGCGTGACCGTACGGCACTGACAAATACGATCGCCATGACCACCGACCTGGAGAAGAGCCTGTCAGATAACAATAAATAGGTTAAATGGTTATTTAAAAGCAGCCACTGGTGGTCATCAAACACAAAATATTGCAGGGTCCCAACCTTCGTAAGTCGAATGGATGGTCTATCGCAATTTTTCTTATCAGGATAAAAAAGTGGGAGGTGGAATGGAAGCAGAATAAATGGCATTTAATGTACACGAAAAAAACGTTTGACCTTTCTGGCATTGGCAATCAAACTGCGCGGAGATGCAAAAACAAACTGGCACTTTCTATCTTTTTAAGAAGCCCGAATGAGGCACTTTTAGGTTGCCGAAATGAAACTAGCAAGAAACTGCTGCGAAGACATTACCCTCTAACCACATCAGCGTTAAAATTAGACACAAGCGACGATTGAAGGTTACGTCACTATTCCGCAAAGTATATCGGGTTAAGCACTTTTTCAAGTCGAGCAACCACCAATTATTTTCCTGCAGTTCGAAATCAGGCATGTTTTCGCATAAACGGTCTTTCATTTGGTAACTGATTCTGTATCTCAGGCTGACTAGATATGAATTACTGAGAGTGGTTCACATATGATGTCTTGCTAAAGCGGATGGCTCAGATGTCTTGATTTCATCGCAATTCAAAAGTTAAGCCACGTAGTTTCCTAAAGTCTTCCTTAAAAGCATGGTTTACTTCTGTATTAGGACTGCAACATTGCCCTTTCACTGCCTTCTACTAAGGCATTATTTTCTACTGGTCATACAGCAGTTAGTTGCCACTTAGTAGGATGTTAACGACGGATATGTTGAGATCGCCTCCCGACAATGAATTGGTAAGTCGGAACATTATTGGGATATGAGTTCCCTTTTTCGGCATGACCAATCAAATGCAGCTGTGGAGAAAGCGCAAACTATTGCAGTCCCTCAAACTGGTTTTGTAGTCATAGTGAACTCTGATAAAGAAATACCGCAAAGCAGTGGCCTGCCTGTTAAGTACAGCATTCGAAAAGTGTGGATGCTAATACAGATTATCAGGTAACAGGCAAAAATCTACTTGCCCTAGTAGAGGGAGCGGCAGAATAATAAGCTGCTTCTGCATGTTACGGAGTTCCCGACTTTCTATTTATTGTGAGTTCATCGGAAACATTTGGAGAGCCAAAGAAATAGTTGAAAGCCAACAGCCACACCATCATTATCATCTGGTGTAAAAAACCGCGTGCTTGCCGTACAATGGTCACAATTGCCACAGTTTTGTTCACTGATGATTCGGGGAGTTGGAGTAGATAGCGGTAGCTGGTATAATTGACGCGTAAATACAGGGTTGCTGAAGGACTTCTAACTAGGGAGATTGGGAGGGGAGCTATGCATTGAAGGCATGCGCGCAATTAGGGGCGCCACTGGGTCACATCCGACGATGTCTGTAACCACTGATGTGTCACTTCTTGACTTCTCCATCCGAGGAACGAAGCACGCTCAATTTAGAGGTGATTAGTGCGCCATCACTTCCCATGTTCGGCCTTACCTCCTTGGACCTCACATCTTCCGGTGACCGAAACCGTATCGGCTAGTGCCAGTGAACCATTGGTGCACAATTTATATCGGATAAAGTGAAGTGACTTGAAATGACTTGAATCGCAGTGAGTTTTTGACAGCTGAACCCATAAATACGTTATCCTATGCAAGCTAATAATGGGACAGTTCTCATTTCAACTCGGGCTGTAACGCGTCAGTTTGCATCCTTGCGATAAACAGGGCTCAACAGATGCACTGTCCTTATGTTGGTCTTTGGAGAATCCAGGTCTAGAAAACCATCAGTGGGTCAACAGTGCCATGTGGAATTCGGTGGTTGGCGAAAAGCAGGAGAAGCCACTAGAATATTTATTCCAATCACACCATCTACTGGGTTGTCCATAGTGAAGGCTCATGAATATCAGACACAGATAGCACATTTACAGAAAAAAACTATCCACTTACTTAGAGAGTGTAAAGGAAATAGTATACTTACCAATGAATTGGAGGACAGACCAATCACCTCTAACAGTCCATCATCAATCTGCTGGGGTTCGAAACCGGCGTTGAGTGGTACAGTCCCCCACGGCAATGTCCCTGAACCATATCTTAATAGGTCAGAATAAAAATATTGGGTGGCTTTAATATATGTAATGCTTTAGAGGAAAGACAGGGGCGTTCTACGAACCTGAATCCCAAAGTACTCAACAAATCGAAGGAAATATAAGGTCCAAGTGGTGTTCTACCGGCTCATCCGCTAAAGCCATAGGACCAACACAATTGTTGTAGGTCTACTGCTGATGCACAGAACAATTTCCAGCCAGTAGAAGGAACAACTCGGAATCTACAGAAATAAGCTTGCATCAAACTCGCGCAAAACTACAACAAAACGAAAAAGGGCAGGACAAAATTTTAGGGTAGTTTTCAATGATGTATTTCAGCCATTTCAGCCCGGCTCATTTCACTATGCTTTTATTGGGCATCGGATGACAAATCATGAGGTACTACTCCATTCTTGTTTTAGAGTTGCCCAACCGCTCAGTTCTGAAGTCACACGCGTCTTCACATCTCTACAGTCAGTATGCTAGTGTATATCGATGGTGCTCAATCGGATTGAGATACCTTGGTAGATCGGCAAATACCGATGTTCACCGCATTTTGCAAAGAACAGCATCGAGCCTAAGTTTATCCTTCTTAGCTATCATTCTCCGAGCTCTGGAGAGCTTCGTGTTTAAGGCACCAGCTTGCGGACCGGAAGGTCCATGGTTTGAATCCGGCCTTAGCATCTCGACTGGCTCTGTCTAAACCTTGGCAACTTAGCTGTATCCTAGCGCTCGTGTTCACTTGCTTGGACATAAGAGATGGGCACAGGAAGGGTGCTAAAGCTGAACGGTACCCCTCAATGTATTTGGATCATGTGTTGATTGCTTATTCTGTCACATTCACATGTTTAGGGCCGGTTTTAAGAAATGATGTACCGTCCGCTAATGGCGACAGGATACAACTGATCACTCGGCTTTAGACACATTTTTGGTGTCCCCCTAGTTTGCCACTGCATGGCCAAGGCGCAAATAGAAGTTTATTTCTGAAGACAGGATAAGGACGAGTTTCAATCTACGCCATTTGAGATGTGACACCTCAAATACTTGAAACTATAACTGAAGCAAATACCTGGTTTCAAAGTAATGCTTAGCATAATTACACGGGATTTCGCTTGTTTTCGTCATCGTGATACAATAATTTTCCGTACAAATAGCATTGCATTCAAACAAATTGAAGCAAACATTTGGGGATGGCCAAAAGACTGTTTTACAGAAGCAAACGACCTGATACATAGATTATGAATTCACACCCTGACCCTACGAAGAGGGCAAAGCTCCAGGAGAGGCCAGAATTATATCCATCTTGATTTCTCCTCGCAACGGGACACGTATCGTATATTTGCGGAAATTCACAAGCAATCCAAAATGGCAAAACCGATCCTGAGCTCAACGACATTTTTGACAGTGACGCGTCAGCACACTAGCGACCGGGTCTATCAATCTGCTGAAGTAGAAATATGAAACTATACACTTGCCCCATATTCAGGCATTATGGGAAAAATGTAAGACTAAAAACGCTGTTGTCAGGCGTTGATATATATATATACCATACAGTCCTAAGAGTCTTAGAGAGATTAGGAACTCAGCCGGCACGAGATTTTCACCATCAGAAGCTTCGTTGAGCTCAGTAGATATGATGTGGAGAAATATGGCTTCAGATGTGAGACCAGCCAACAGCCTGGACAATCAAGTCAAGTGGCCTTAAAAGTAAGTACATATGTCTGGATAGTTAGACTGATTGACTGGACAATGCTGCGCACAAGTTTGCCAAAGTTACGTTTGTTGCTGTCACCTGTCTACCAAAGAGACTCGAAATCAAATCTTTTTTGACTTTCAACTATAAGGCGATTGAATGGGGTCCAAAGAAATCGTTCGCAGACACCAAAACCCTTGGTTCCATTAAACTGTGTATTCCGTTTGTTTTCCAGGCCTCTGACCTGTGGGAGCGATATGATTTTCGGTCTCTCCAGTTGTTGGCGCAGGAGGAAAGTAGTGTTGATCACATTATTCATTCAGACAAACATACATCGCTTTTTCCTTGCTGAACCATTCTTCATTGGTATCGTCCCTCATTGTTCATGTAATAAAATTGTTTGAACACGATTCATCTCTCGGTGGGATCACGTAGTGGTAATTATATCATACAACTTTATGATCTTAACATGCCTGAACAACAAATATATCTGCGACACATAAACTGGCAACATTATAGCATTTACATTTGGCAAACGGCGACAGAAGAATTTAAGGACCTTTCACTCGACTGAATTAATAGACATAAATACGAGGAAGACATGAAATTTTGAGCGAGAAAGTGAAAACTCGAGTTTCCTTGGTACGTTTATCAGTTGCATGGCCATTACGTGGATAAAAAGCGAAAAGTGAAATAATTTTCTGTTGAGTTCAGCCCAGCTCAATATAGACACGGGAAAACCAGTTTGATCTGATACCGATGAAATTTAAAGAGAGACATTTTTGACAGCTTTTTTAAAACTCGAAACGCAATGCTGAATAAAGCCCTTGACTACGATCTCGAAGATAGAGGCTTGCCACACATGAGGCGTGACAGCTCCCCGAAAGTTATTTTATCAGTAGTTTCTACGTCACGTTTAATACCTTTTACAACTATTGAGCAGTAAGAAGACAGTTGAACTCGCTCATAGCTCATACCAGAACCAATAAAACTCTTCACTATTAGATCCCTTTTGAAACGAACGGATAGCGTGCACAACTAAGCAATAATCACACATCTCGGTATGAATTTATTACATTCGCATTTAAACTCCCTATAAGTTAGTACTCGAACGCTCCAGAGGGACGTTTTGATGGATGTCACTAAGCTAGTTGGAGATGGTATCAACCGGAAAGGAAGAAGCAACCTCACGTGAAGCAGAAATCTATAAATAACTT